AGTATCACCTCCTTGGATTTATTCGTCATGCATCTGCTGATGCACGATAAAGTGCCATTGGATTTTTGATGGCTTCGTCACACTGCCGACTCATGTTCATCTTGGAGTCCACTAGGACTCCAAGATCCCTTTCCACTTCTGTGCCACCCAGCAGGTCATTCCATAGGCTGTAGGTGTGCTGGACATTTTTCCTCCCTAGGTGCAGCACTTTGCATTTCTCCTTGTTGAACTGCATTCTGTTGTTTTCTGCCCACTTGTCCAACCTGTCCAGATCTGCTTGCAGCTGTTCCCTGCCCTCCATTGCCCTTAGACAGAGACAATAACAAACCAGCTAATACAGGCTTGTCCAACATATGGCCCGTGGGCCGCCATGCAGCCCGCCAAGTCATTTTCTGTGGCCCGAGGTCCCTTGCTCGGGACAGGTGCATGGGGGAGGGGAGGGGAGCTGCTCACTCCCGCGGGGCCGGACTCGCGTGACCTCCCATGTCACGTGAGCCGGGTCCTGCTGCCGTCCCGAGGGCTGCGCGGCATGGGGCTGCACCTGACGGGACAAACTGAGGACAGCGTCTGCTTTTACTTGTCTCCAGCTTGTCCCCTTTCCCCTGGCATCCTGCCCACCTCCCAGGACCCGCCAGGCTCAGTGGCTGTGGAGTGGGAATGGGGCACAGCGCCTGGCACAGGCAGTCTGCAGGGCAGCCCCGGGGGGGCCTAGGCAAGCGGGGTCCTGGCATGACCTCTGTGGGGTTAGGCAGTGGAAGCTGGTGTCCACTGGGCCCTGAGCTCTGGGCTCGCAGTGCTGAGGCCACCGGGGCTGTGTATGTGGATGGCCAGGCACCATGGTGAGCAAGGCTGTGTGGATGGGCTAGCGAGGGGCTGCGGTGCAGCGGCTACCTCACTCTGGCCCGGCTCATGGGGCTGCGCTGCTCGGGGGTTGCGCTGCTTGGGGGCGGCCTGGGGTGGCGAGGGGGGATTGTTGCTCCCTGCGGCTGGGCCGGGAGCTGCTCTCCTGCCGTGGTGGCTGCCTGCACCCTCCCGGGGGCCATTTGCCTTCGCTGCAGGGAAGTGCGGAGGAGTGGAGTGGCCCACGTTCCCCCGAGGCTTTCCCCTGCCAGGAGCCGCCCTGGGCAGACCAGGCCTGAGACCCTGCCAGGCTGGGAACCAGCTTCACTCCCGCAGTTCCGCCCTCCCACATCTCAAGCGTTGGCTGGGCCCCAGCCACGCCTGTGCGAGCACTGCCAAGACTTTGGGAAGTGGTGTTGCTGGTGTGGGCAAGGCCTGGGGAAGCAGTGGCATAGGTGGCTCCTTGGCCTGCCTGAGAGCACCATCTACATCGGTTTGGTCACATATTTTAATACTGCTGTCAAATATCTTCTGGGGCTGCCTTCAAATGGTGGTCGTAGTAGGCAGAAGGGAGGCCCGGCTGTTGGGATGGCTGTTCCAGGACCTTATTTCCTGTACTTTGTCACTAGCTAAGCACAGGTAGGGGTTTATGCCAGCTTTGCCTTATTTCAGGCTTGTCTAACATATGGCCCACAGGGTGATAAAATATGAATATGGCTCGCCGGCCCACTGGGTGATAAAAAGATCATGATCTGGCCCCACATTCAAAAAGGTTGGACACCCCTGAGCTAGTAGAAGATATGTTAGTGCTGCACTGGAGAAATATGAAGCGCAACTTCTTATTGGACAGCTTTAGTATAGACTGCAAGGGGTGGAGAACAGTTTATGTGATTTGGGCTTACTGAAGATGATCTCAAGATTGAGCCTTTGTATTAGTGCAGACAGACTCTAAGTGGACATTCTTCAAGCAAAAAGTATTTTTAAAATGAAAGCTGAGAGAATTGAAGAAAAAGAATTCCTCTTGAAAAAAATTGAAATTTAAACCATTTATAATGGGAAAAAATCCAATGAGATAATGTAGTATTGTGCACTGTTTTGGTTGTATTTCTATCTTAACATTATATGCTGAACAGTCACATGGTTATTGTGTTTCATTCCAGTGACATGCTCTGGAAGTTCCGTTGGAATGGGTAAGACAATACTACCATGATTTAACCTCTAATGAAAATGATGGTACTAGGAAATTTGTTTCTCTTAAAATGAAAAGTACTATACCTTTAAAATAACTTGAGACATTATTTTCAGATAAAGACGTTCTCTCAGTTTTACCATAGAAAAAATACTTACACCCAATAAAATAATGTCTTGCGAGATGCTTGCTTGGAGCTTGGATATTTTGCCAAAGCTGAATATGGCATAATTTGAGATAGTGTACAAAGATAGATTTAATCATAGCTGTATTCCCATCATTCAGGGATTGCTCTGTGTCAAACCAGTCTCCCGGTGTAAAAGTTAGCATAAAGTCTAATCCCTGCCCTTTGAGCTAGAGGCTGTTATGGCAGCCAGGGGTTAAGTGTCAGGGAAGGCCTACCTATATATTCCTTTTCTCCTGCCACAAACTTTACCTCATGTGCAGGGAAGGGGGTGGCCAAAGGAATCAGCCAGCTCCACAATACCAAAAGATACTTCTACATCATAGATATCAAAAATCTAGCTCATGGGGTTGGGAATTTAGGAGTGGGGTGAGCAAGGGTAAGGCCTGCTCACTGAATTCCTAGCAATGGAGCCTGATAGGCATGCATATTGGCAGCAGAGGGACAAGTGATGACCACACTGCTGCTGCCAGTTCTGAATCTGGCTCACAGGGGTGATCAAGTTTGACACCTATGTTCTACATGACACTGGCTTCTGATGGCAAGTTATTTAAGCACAGGGGATGTTTAATGATATCCACGCAATAAATTGAAGATATACAATAACTGAACAAGCATGCAATGAATTCAGTTTATGCCTATGATCAAATCATGTGCCCTCTGCCCAACGGGACAAATTTTTAAGTGTGATAATAGTTGACCATTGAAACAACTTACATAAGGACATGGTGTTTTCTGTCACTTGATATGTTTAAATCAAGATTGAATGTCTTTCTGAAATATAGACTTGCATTCCATCAGAAAGTATTTATTTGATGCAGGAACGATATGGCAGAGTCCTATTGTCTCTATTATGCAAGAGATCAGACTAAATGATCCAAAAATTGGAAACAATAAATCTGTAATTCCAATCATTTAATCTAAATTTCTAAAACTCTGAGCAGTGTCAAACAATTAGCAAATTAAAAAAAAAAAGTATAAATCCAGAAATGTTTCTTTTCCCTTCAGATACACAACTTGCCATCACCCCCCAAATTATACCATCCTACAGCCCAGCAAAATTCAGCTCTAGACATTGGCCACTTTTCCTGATTTTAAAATGTTACAAACTGTAAAGTAAGCTAATTGTCCTGTTGGGGTAGAAACAAGAGTTTTATACCATTAGGGAGGCTTTTCTTTAATTAGGATCAGGACCTGTTTTCTAGCTCTGGAAGAGCCAGATTTTGGCATGATTTTCAGGTTTTGGCATTTTTGTGGGGGGAAAAAAGGGTGTGTTGTTAATGCAGATTACCTCATTTAAGCTTCAGGGGTATATGTTTCAACTATGTTGGTCTAAGGGCATAGGCAGACAAGGTTCTTTGGGTCAATCTGATATCTTTTTTTTAGACCAACTCAGATAGTTGGAAAAATTCTTTTTTGCAGGCTTTTGGGTACAAATACCCTTTGTCAGGCTGAGGAAACATCTGCAGTTGGTCTGTGCTTTTCCTAGATGGAATGAATAGTAAAGAAGCCAGAGGCTGGTATGCATGCAAGAAAGCCAGTCACTGAAGATGTAAATTGAGGAGTCCATGGGTGAGAGACAGGCTGGGGGTGGAAAAGGGAATGAACATAGCTGGTAAATAGTAGAGAGGTACCTGGGGAGTCAGATGTTAGCCAGGTAATAATGTGCCATAAATCCAATGTCTATATTTAGTCCATGATTTTTTGTATCCAGTAGGTTGATGAAGTGAAGTTCATAGGCTCTTCTGTGAAAGGTGTTTTGTAAATTCGCTTTGAGGATTAAAACTGAGAGATTGGAGAGAGAGTGGTTTTCTTATGAGAAATGTGCCCCCATAGGTAATTGGGTATTCTTGTCTTTGCTAGATTTTCAGTGCGTATTCATTCTGGTGCACAGCTGTTTGGTCTCTCCTACATATTTTCCATCAGGGCATTTGGTGCATTGAATAAGATGTATTGCATTTCTGGAGGTGCAGTTGTAAGATCCCGGAATGCTGATGGTTCTATTGTGGGTGTGGTGGAGATATGTTAACATGATAACATATGTTATCATGATATGTTAATGATAATACATCTCCACCCCCCCCACCCCCCAATCACTGCAACCTACAACAGAACCATCAGCATTCCTGGATCTTGCAGCTTCACTGACTGGCTTTCTTGCATGCATACCTGCCTCTGGCTGCTTTACTATTCATTCCATCCAGGAAAAGCACAGACCAACTGCACATGCTTCCTCAGCCTGATGAAGGTTATTTGTACCCAAAAAGCCTGCAAAAAATAATTTTTCCAACTATTTGAGTTGGTCCAATCAAAGAGATCAGATTTACCCAAAGAACCTTGTTCACTTAAGCTTTGCACAGTTGAACTCTTGGCAGATGGTTTTTACCAGCACAAGACTCTAAAAATTATTCTACTTAAAGTTTTTTGAAACTCACAAAAAAATCCCTGAAGTATTTTTTTCTAACATAGGTGGCACATATAGAACATATAACAGAATGGTGCAGAGGAAACATTTAATTGGTGTACAGCTGAGGATTGTCTCTAACTCATGTATAGCTTCACCACCTATCACAAGATGTCCTTTCAAATTCATGCAGATAAACTCTTTATAACATACCACAGTTTCATATATTCTTAGGCCCAAAACAAGATGCAAGTACAATTAAGGGGTGCACAGGCCTTGTACACTGGTCTTCTGCACATGATATTTCTCCCTGAATATCTATCTTTATTTATCCTTAAATGGATTAAATTCACATCTCTGTATTTTACACAGATCTTGCCTGTATTTTGGTCAGCAACTGTAGTGCTGAAAGCTGTGATCTCACTTGTTCTTAAAAGCAAATCAGTCAGGCCATGCCTGTATTGGGTTAAAACCTCCAAGAAAAAACAGTGCGATACAAAAAGAGTGATAATGTTTAATAAAACAACATTTTCCCCTTTGAATCTGATACTGTCCCAGCACAGTGCTGGGAGGTAAAATCCTAACTACTCATGGTAATCAAGGACTGTAAGGTACTTTTTGAAAATGTATGGTCATATTCCATTATTTAGTGAGTCAGTATGCCAGTGATAAGTAGCACTTTGTTACAAATGGGAATACAGTATAGCCTATTTTGCTTAAATTTCTCCTGTAGTTTCAATTAAATAGCCTTCCTCTTAAATTTGATGACCTAAACTGCTGCATAAACTAGTATTCAAACAAACATTTCCTTAGCAAACTGGTTGTTTATGTTTTGCTCCCAGCTGAATTTATCTAAACCTCTGCTTTGTTGCAGTGATTTATAGAGGAAAGAGAAGTGCAGAATAGCATCATTTTAGATGGAGATAAACAGGTAAGGATTTTAAAATAAGAATAAAATAAGAATTGAAGACTATTACAGAAGTGTTCATGGAATAACAGCAAACTGGTGGGGTACTGAGAAACAACCAGCATAGCTTTGTTGAGGGGAGGTCATGCCTAACAAACATGGTATCCTTTTATGACCTGCTAACCATCTGAACATGGGGCAGGAGCTGGATGTCATCTACCTAGATTTCAGCAAGGTCTTTGATATTGTTCCCCATTAAATCCTCTCAATTAAGTTGGAGAGTACTGGCCTAGACCAAGCTAGTGAGATGGGTTGGCAACTGGCTCAGCAGCTGATCCCACAGAGTGGTAATTGACAGGGTGGCCTCATCCTGGAGGGCCCTCTCCAGTGGTGTCCCCCAGGGATCAGTACTTGGGCCTGTACTCTTTAACATGTTTATCAATGACCTGGATGAGGGAGTGAAAAGCGCAGTGATTAAGTTTGCAGATGATATCAAGCTGTGGGGACAAGTGGGAACATCCGAGGACAGGACAAAGATCCAGGACAACGTTGACAGGCTGGTCCTATGGGCTGAATGTAATCAGATGAGGTTCAACAGAGAAGGAGGACATGGGAGCAGGCATGTGCCCCCAGATTTGTGCAGGGTGGCCTGGGCCAAGCCGTGCTCCAGGAGGCTAGCCGCAGCCCTGGCTCCACCCACCCCGCAAAGCACAGTGAAGCAGTGGCTATGGGGAGGCTGCAGCCACCCTAAAATTCCCCATAGCCCCTGCTGCCAGGCCAGGCCCAATCCAGGTGCATGCGCCTGCCCCTATGACCTACTGCAGCTTGTCCAGCCGGGGTGAAGCTGAAGCTTGCCTGGGAGGTGCAAGGAGGCTGGGCAAGCAGTGGGAGGGCATAACCTCCACTCCCAGTGCCTTCCACTGCCCATCAGGAGTGCAGCCCACCCCGCACAGATCTGGGGTCATACCCACTACCATGCCCTCCTGGACCAGTGGCATGCAGTGGCGGGAGACCCCCTCCCAGAGTGCCATGCCCAGGGCTGTCCTGGGGAGCAGGGGTGGTGAATTGGGGCAACTGCCCTGGCCCCCATGCCTTGGGGTGCCCCATGGACAGTCCTGTACAGGCCTCACTAGTCACCATGCACTACCATTGCCAAGCACCGTCAGCTCTGCTGCTGCCGTACACTGCCGACTCTGGCCACTCTCCTCCCCCTCCCCGCTGGCTCTGGCCACTCCTCCGGCTGCTTGCCACCCCGCCTTACCGTCCCCCGGGCCCCACACACTCCTAAGGATGGTTCTGCCCATGACTCCCACCATCACAGTCGATTCAGAGCTTTTATCTGGTCTCCTGATTAGATTCAAAGATTTGGCCACCAAATCAGGCCAAATCTTCTCTGAATAAAATTGGATACCGAAACTTTGCGCAGCTCTAGTAAATAGTAAGGGGCCTGGGCTACAGTCTGAGGAACAGTCCAACTTGTTTGTGCAGTAAAGTTATACAGTAAAATGGGAAGAGCATGATGTATAAGAGTACAGCCCAACTCTAAGTCTGTATTTTTAAAGGAAACAATTGTGGTAGGGAATCACCAAATTGAATCACTGTCCCTTGAATTTGAATCCAAAGCAAATACTTGCCACTTCACACAAGCCTACTATTTACACAAGAAAATCTTTGATCTAGGTTTGAAGGTGCTTTGAGACTAAGCCACTTGACCTAGCTGGGTGTTCAGATGCATCCTCACTCCCACTAAACAAGGACATATACGAAGATAAGCTATAGTCTTCCAATAGTTTCCGCAGTTCTTCCCAAAGACCAATGAATTTACCCATAATTGATTCTTTCCCAGGCATCATGCACCTCAGTACAAAGAGTCACAAGACATGCCTCCATTCACTTGGAATGCAAAAGCATGTTGGGGATTGCCCATGTGCCAGTGATCCAGGCTATCTATGCAGTGAAAACCTAACGCATGTGTATAGACACTTCAGTAAAGCTCAGAAATACCTAAACTAGTTTTAGAAGCTGTCTGATTGCAACAGAGAAGCGGGGTCAATTAGTCCACATGAAGCCCTGTGCTACTGACTAGACTGCTTTTGGTACCTGAGCTTATTTGGTGCTCTCCACTGTCCTGCAGTGTAGAATAAAACAACTACACCCTCTGAGGCCATTTTTGGGGATACATTTCAGGCATGATGATGCTGGACAGGCAGCTCCTGTTGCAACCATACTGCTATAGAGGGGCAAGGGTGTGGAACTAACAAGACCTGTACAGCTTTTGAAACAAGAAACTTGAGAGCCAATACTCCCACTAAGAGTTTCCAAAATGGGTATGGAGAGCAGCACTTTCCTCTGTGAAGTTTTTGTACTCTTTGGAGAGATGCTGTAGGTTAGGCTCATCTGAAACAGGAGAAATGATACAGCTGGGTGCTTGGGGCAATTGCCACAGGGGAATTTCTAGTTGCTGCTATACCACAGCACACTGCACAGCTGCAGCCACTCTGCCCTCTCCCCCCCAGTCAGCACCCAGGGCAACTGCTCTGGTCACCCTGCGCTAATTATACCACTGATCTATGAGCCAGATCTGGTCCAAGAAGAGATTTGATCCAGCCTGCAAAGTTCTGATCCAGCCAGTGTTTTAAGAATACCCAACAGGTCCCCTTCTGCACATTTTTGCCAATCTCAGTTGCAGCTCCATCCATCCTGGAGGGCTGTTGTTCGTGATGGGACTTTGCTCCCCCCACCCCCCAGCTCAGCTTATGTTCATGCTGAATGAGCTGTTTTGCTGCAGAATTAGTTACTCCAAATCTTTGCTCACTGCACCTTTCAGCAGCAATGGTGAGCAGAGGCTGTGGGACAGGGAAATAGGCTGTTTGAGGTAACAGCCACGTCGAAATGACCTGCCAAAGTTAGTGCATCAGAACTGGAAAATGAATCTGATTCAAAATGAAAGTCAAATTGACTTGGTTACTTTATTTCAGTGGCCAAATAAAATTGGAATTTTAAAAACAAAACTGCCAGCATAAATGTAGGAAGTACATTACAAACATAATTTCAGGTTTAAATAAACCTACTTGTAGGAAATTTAAGTAGAGCACTATTATAAAAACAACAACCCAAACCCTAAGGTAAGAAGGGTAGGATTAGGCACAACACCACTGCCAAAGTATGTCTAATTTTTCTCCTTAATATTGTATTTTTAATTTATGTAGCTAAAAGTATTTTTCCCCCCACAGACTATGATTATGGACGACTTACATGGGCACCTGAAATCACCAATGGAGGTCGCTTATACAAAGCAGCCAAATGAAACATCAGACACTTCATGTCATTTCTTAAAATGTACCAAAAATACTGATGTTTCTTAATGAAAGTGGTTTTTATTCACTTTTGCAGAATTCTCTAAGAAATGCTTGAAAATAACTGAATTATAGTGCTTAATAGTAAAGTTATTTTCTATTTAGAGTTTGAAAAGTTGGAAACAGATAAATATTTCATTTACAGTCCCCCCCCACCCTTCAAAAGCTATTGTGATAGTGTCTCTCACTTGTAGAGGTAACAGTATTTTCAAATGCGGTTGCCTAGATTTAACCAAGTCCCGAGGTTGATTTTTCAGGTTTCCACTCAAACCAGGACAGAACTTGGGCCATAGTTTGTTTCATGCACATCTGATAATACTATGCTCTGATGTGCATTTTAAATTGAGTTTCATAATAAACTGTTTACTTCTGGAATTCAGTAAAAAGGTGTTGGCTGTGTCTCAGTGTGCTATTACAATTTTTATTCTGTGAGCAAAGATTCTTTTAAATTTTCCTTGAGGTGCATTTGTTGAGGAAGGAATACATGACATTTTTGCATAGAATTATCTGCAGAGAAGCCAAGTAAAATTAAAAGGAACTTTGTAGTTTCCTCTGAATTCTTCAAAGGGTCAAGGCCGTGTTGGTTTTCTCCCCAAACAGGATGAAACAGTGAAATTTAGACACAGAACCCCACATGTATGGAAATCAGGTGAAAGCTAGGTCCATCCTAATACAGGTCACATACCTCTACAGATGGTCCTGTGGGTCCAGCTCTCCTTCAATGAAGGTTAGAGGATGTAGTCTGGAGATGGCACAGCCCAGGTATTTAACTTAAAATAAGTAACCGTATCAAGATTTGAAAATACTACTTTGCATAGGCCATCTAATCCTAGGACTTTAAATCAGAATTTTTGCCCTGTGACTGAAAAAGGGGCATAATTCCTTATTTCCCAGACTTCTGAGCTGAAACCTGCTTCAGTATAAAACATACCATGTTACAATGTCACCCCCACAGTACTATGCCATGCTGTAAAGAGACACATGAAACATACCTTCATACAGGGTCAGTTAGCCCAGGTAGCACTGTGATAACAGGATCACAGGGATGGAAGGGATCTCATGAGGCCATCCAATCCAGCCCCCCATACAAGGTAGGATCACTTCTGACTAAACAGTTGCAGTCAGGTATCTGTATAACCATCTCTTGAAAACTTCCAAGGTTGGAGATTCCACAACTTCTCCAATGCCTGACCACCTAGTCATAGGAAGTTCCTCCTAATCATCAACCTAAACGCCCTCTGCTGTAGTTTAAGGCCTTTGCTCCTAGTCCTGTCCTCTATGGCCACAGAAAATAGTACATCTCCATCCTTCTTATAACTGCCCTTTAAGTATTGGAGCATTACCAAAACCCATCTTTTCTCCACACTAAATCCTAGTTCTTTCAGCCTTTCCTTGTAAGTCATGTTTCTCAGCCTTTAATAATTTTTGTTGCCCTCTGTTGTAACTTTTTCTATCTGTCCACATCTGTCTTAAGGTGTGGGGCCCAAAACTGGTTATGGTACTCCAAGTGAGACTTCACTAGTGCTGAACAGAGCAGAAGAGAATGACTTCCTTTAATCAGAAGTGCCACTTCCAAATCATACAGCCCAGAACGTTTTTGTTGGATTTGTTTTGCAACAGTGCAGTACTGGCCCTTATTCAGCTTATGACCTACTGCAACTCCTAGGGCCATTGCTGCAGTATTCCCCTAGCTCAGTGTTTCCCAACCAGTGTGCTGTGGCACAAAAGTATGCCATCAGAAATGAAGAGGTGTGCTGCAGAATTTTGCCATGGAATACCTTAACAAGTGTGCTGCGGAAAAATGTTATTAATGTAAGTGGGCCGTGGACTGGAATATGTTGGGAAATATTGCCCTAACTGATCATTCCCCAGTCTGCATGATATTATTTCACCCTGAGAGCAGGACTCTGCAGTTGCCCGTGCTGAACTTCATGCATGATTTCAAACCATTTCTCTAGCTCATTCAAGTTACTCTTGATCCGAGTTCTACACTCCAGAACAGCAGCTGGCAACCTTAAAAACCTGCACACTGTACCAACTCAATCTGGGTCAAAGGCAGTGGGGCGGGAAGTTCCAGATACTGCCAGCACTTCCTTTGCAGTGGCATGGGAAGGTCATGTGCAGCCAGCCCTTTTTCCTTGCAGCTGCATGGGAAAATAACTGCTGCTGAGTCCCCACCATCATGGAACCCCCATGTCCACAAGCCCAGTCAAATGGCTTTGCAGGCTTGATCTGGCCCATGGTCACATATTGCCAACCCCTACTCCAAAATGTCCTCAACTCAACCCAATTTGGCATTATCTACAAATTTGCTAAACATGCACTGAATTCATCCTCCAAATCATTTGTGGTGTTAAATAATACTGACCCAGGACAGACGCTTGGGGAACAGTACTTGAGAGGAGGAATACCTCCTCGCAAGCAGACACTGAACCATTGATGACTACCCATTGAGTGCTATGATCCAACCAGTTATGCATCCATTTTACAATACTTTCAGCTAGTCTGTATTTCAAAGCCTTGCTAACATCAAGGTACTTCACAACCACCACACCACCTCCATCATTCATTCATCTATGAATCTATATCCCTGCGCTCTTTCCTGCCCAGGACAGGGGTTTGGATTCTATGATCTACTGAGGTTCCTTCCGACCCAAACATCTTGGTGAATCCATATAGGCTATTCCCAATCACCTTGTTCTCTTCCAGGTGTTTAGAAATAGGCTGTTCTTCCACTACTCCAGGTTGTTTACCTCCTTCCCCATCTTTGCTGACACCTGTGCTTGTCATTCAGTAGCTCACTTTATTCATGAAGTAAAAAAAGGCATCAAATACTTTAGCCTCATTAGTAACTAGATTGCCTTCTGCATTCATTCGTAGACCTACACTTTCTTTGGTCTAACTCTTACTTCTGACATACTTCTAGAGTCCTTTTGAATTGCCTTTTCCAGTGGCATCTCAAATTGTGCCTTTGACTTACTTCCTGCAGACTCAAGCAATAATACCCTCTGTTACACTTCCCATTCTTGCTTCTGCACCTCCTTAGGTGCAGCTAATTCTCCTGGTCACCTTTTCCTGTCAGACTTACAGCTCAGAGCTCCCCAAGTGTAATAAAATCTGCTTTTCTGAAGTTCAGTTCCTTTTAAGATGTCAATCATTTTATGGTTATTGTCACCCAAGTCACCCTCTACTTTCACATCCTCAACCAACTCCTTGTCTGTGACCAGTATGTTAAGAGCTTCACCTCCACTTAGCCTCTCTACTATCTGTACAAAAAGTTATTCCCAGTAAGAACATACTAGACTGCCTGGGCAAAACAATTATACTATTCCTGGTACCCAAGCTAGCTTGCATCTCTATACATGACACTAAGGGTGCCAAGGCCTACATTACTCAACATTAACAGTATGTGTCCTCTCTCTACAAGTCTTGTGTCTGACCCCCTAGTCCGCAATACCCAATTTTTCAAAGCACTGGTATAGATCTGCATAACATACGTCCTCTCATTTCTGGTATATGTTCTCATTCAGGAAAACATTCAACATTAAACACTGGCATCTGAATCAGTACCTCCTGAGCTGGCTGAAAAAGCTGGCAGGTCAGTTATTTCAGGCTCTTTACAGACATAAGCTGATACTTCTGCCCAGGTCATATTGGTTTATTTTATATATAGACTATAGAAAATAATGAATAAGTCTGTCCATGCCATTCCAACCCTTCTATGATCATAAAACACAACAGTTGCATATTCATCCTGTATTTCAGATTGTTAGGGTGTCATCCAAAAACAGTATTTAGCCATGTTAGTGACATTACCATTTACTTGAGTTTGACTACTTTTTCACCTTTGCTATAAAAGATCTGCAAGTCTACATATTTTTTCTTTCTAGGTTATTATTAATAGTAGGCTACATTATTATTTTTGCTTCAAGAGCATGAGGTCATCTGAACATCACAAAATATACCACTAAAGACAGCTGTAGGTACATACTCTATTAACACCCAAAGTGGAAGTGAATGCCTTAAGGATAGTCCTTAATAAAAATCAATTGAATTAAACTGAATCAAAACTTAACTAGCTGCATAAGACTTGCATTTCTTAATTACCTGGTAGAAGCTTGCATTAATTCAAGATTTGTTAACATGAACGAAAGAGCTAATTTTAATTAGCATTAACTATTGAGCAGGTGAATAGGTGCAAGGCTAACTTTACTAAAATAAATAAATAAATAAAAATCACAGTTGTAAGGAGAGGAGGTATCTACCAATATTCACATAAAGTGACAACATTACAACTACATAGTAAAAATTCCATTTTTGCCTTCACTGGATTAGGAAGCAACCCATGGTTCTTAGAAAATTTAAGACTGAAATTTTATTTTTAAATTTAAAAGGATTGTTTCGATCAGTAAAATACTGTACTTTTTAAAAAAAAAGAGCAAAAGACATGAGGTCAAATGCTTCTTTTGTCAGTGTGAATCTGAACTCATTTCACCTTTCTGGCTCATGCCTTTCACGTACAAAACATCACTAATCTCTTCAGTTGAGCATAGGTAGTGTTAGCAAGTCAGACTGGGATGTTTACCCGACAGTTTAACCATCTAATTGAGTTCCCTTTGATAACTGCAGCCTGTACAGTTTTATGCACATAAAGATCTATAAATGCTTAACATCAGTTAGTTATAAATTCCTGCATACATTACCTAAATCTCAAATGAAAAGATTCTGTACGATTACAGAAGCCTCATTGTGGACCTGGTGTGATGTGTAGAATACTGCCATGCATGGGTGCAAATCAACAGGGGATTGCTTATTGCTTGAATATAGAGCATCACAATTTTTTCCTCATTCTCAAATGCCACTTACAGCACGTTAAGACTCTACTGCACGTTTACAATAGCAATTATGCTGTATCTCTGTTAATACCTTGATTGTGTTACATACAGTCTGGAAAAAATCTGAAAACCATCTTGTTTACAAGTCTTTTGTCATTACAATATTTTATACATAGCTTCTGCTTGTAACAGCAAGTCAGAAATCCCCATAAAGCTAGTCAGCTAAACTACTCTGGAACACAGAGAAATCTGGTAACACCAGAAAAATGGAGTTATAATGAACCTGACATTTGAGAGCAGTAGCTACTGCACATTGGGTGGAACACCACCCAAAGCCAGAAAGCCACATACCATTTATACAACTCTTTAGTTTCATTGTAGTTAATGCCATTAGATTACATTTGTCTTTTTAAAAACATGATACAAAGGTTTAAAATAAAATTTTAGAAGTACTCCATTTCAGATGTTTTTCAGCTTCATGGTGCAGTAGCAAGATTGATCAAACAACGTGGTAGGAGTTAGACTTATAAAATGTATATCTAATCAAAACATCCAGGACACTAAGTCTACCTGATGAATCTGCACCTTGCTACTGCTTAATCTATTAATGTCATGAGTTAATACAATTGTTTTCATATAGTCAGAAGCTGACATTAAGAATAAAGGATGATGCACTACTTTGCTGGAATTTGTTTTATTCTTTTGAGCATAAAATCTGCTCTGTTGCCCGACTACAGCTAATGGACAACACCCAAGTTCTCTGCATGCTCCCATTCATGCCCCACACCAGAAGATTCTGCTCTGACAGTGAAACTCTCTCATAGCAGTATGTACTGGGGTGCTAACTCCTCTCCACCTTCTGAAAACTCTGAAGATGAGGTTATGAAAGGACATAGCATCAGCTCCTTCCATCTCCAGATGAACATCCACAAAACGTATTCTTTGGGTTGAGTGGGGGGTGGTCCTTTCTTTAAAAGAGGAAACATTGACTTAAATTACCAACAGTCGAGAAATAAGCCAAGTTAGCTAGGACTTGCTGACATCTAAGAGATTTTAATTCTGATCCTTGAAACCATGGTGAACTGACGGAGACAGAGGCAGATGCACGTAGTATCAAGAGGGGATTCTTCAAGTCCAGCAATCCTTCTAGCATCATACATATACTAGATACTGAGCAATCCTCAAAGGGACTCATTTCCCCAGGGTGGTCAACTTTTAGCACTGTTACCAGAAAGTTTCCAGCGAATGACAACAAACTACCAGCCTTATTACTAAAGGAACCTCTGGCTGCTGAACATCCTGATCCAAGTATTCTGCTAACAATTAGGCCAAAAACACTACACAGCAAGAACCTCTCTGACTGAGTTAGAGCCACTGGTTCTAACTCCTATGGTCTTAGAAATTCTGGCAATGTCAGCTTCTGTAATAGAAGGCAAGCTGCAGCAAAAGCAGTCCTCACTGGTACCTTTGGTTTAGAGAACCAGATCCAAGAACCTAAGATCCTAAATCAAGTGATATTGTTCATAAATTCAAATGTAATGGCCATATACTAGTTCCAAAATCCATAAATGATGCACCACCATCTATTACAATGGTAGCTGTAATTACAATATACAAATACAGTGGGGTGTGGGGAAGAACAAAGGAAAGCACATGCTAATCCTTGCACATAAGCTCCCAAAGAAAGTAAGTTTGAATGAATCATGACACCGGCAAACATTTTGCTTCTGCCCAGTAGAATGCCGCACGCCTCTCAAAACTGTTTGCCGTTCTTGATTATAAGTGCCAGGGTCTTTTGATTTCACCAAAGTCAGATCTAAGACAAGAGGAAGAATCTGAATGTACATCTCCCAGGTTTCACTCAGAGGAAGGGATACCCCACTTTTTAAATGTTGTTCTGTTCTCTAGAAACCATATCTGAGATACGCATCACCATGGGCAAGATCAGTGGGGACTAGCCTTGTTGGCAGGTGTGCTACAGATTAAGTCCATGCCCTCCTGGAGTACTACTTCAATTCCCTTCCCCTGCCAGATCTGCTGCTCTGTCTTCTCCCTGTTATGCTGCCTGGCACAAAGGCTGCTGCGCCACAAGTTGGCCTAGGCTAACTGTCCTTTTAGCTTTTAGTTAAGCATTTTAGAAGTGTTCCACATCCTCATCCTAATAAAGAACTCTTTACTTTGAGATCCGAGATCTTGTTCTTAAGATGCAAAATTCTATTTTAGGAGTCTTTTTTTCCATAACAGCTCTTTATAATTAAGAGAAGAGAAAGAAGATAAAGGATACGGAGCCAGAAACAAATTATCAATCATATTCTACATTAAAAGGTGCGAGTTGCTTCAGCATCTAAGAACATGTTTGAACTCCATGGATACAGAGTGAAGAATAACAATATTGAAGTTTGGTTCATGCCAGTAAAGGTCCAAGTTTGTGATATTCTGGGTTCTCTATTTAAACAAGGTGACTCGGGTACCAGTAACAGTCTAGCCATAGTAGCTCATTAGTGCACAACACCACACTAGAGCAGCTAGGCTGCTTCCAGTTCCCAAACTAGTGCATCACTGTAGTGCTGTGTGTCCATTATCCTGTTGGGTTTCAAAATGCAAAAAGAAAGCAACAAGTTTGCCTTTATCCACACATGCAGATGTTAGAACTCATACCACTGGAACAACAGCAGCTCTATAACGTGCCTGTCACACTTGCAGGCTACCACATTATACATTTTCCCAACATTGCTTACATGAAAAAATAATCTTCAGGTAGCATAAAGCACTTATAATGTTATGGGAATGGAAATTACAGGTTTCCCCTCACTTTATGCTGTACATGCATTCCTGGAA